CTTTGTACCCACAAACGACCCAGGGAGGCATTTGCTGCTGTTGCTGCTGTTGCAGCTGCTACTGTTGCTGCTGCTGGTGTTGCCGCTGCTGCTGCTGCTGCTGCTGCTGCTGCAGGACTGTGCGGTAAGGGAGGGCAACAGACAAATAAAAGGAAATCCAAAGAAAGAAGACAACAGAAAAAGGCAAAAGTATTGCAGCACCAACTTGTGCTGCAGCAGTTGCTGCTGCTGCTGCTGCTGCCGCCGCCGCCGCACTAGCTACTTGCTGCAGCTACAGCAGCAGCAGCAGCTGCGGCTGCTGCGGCTGCTGCAGCTGCAGCTGCTGGTGCTGCAGCAGCAAACAACACTAATAACCATTATATTGTTTGCCTTCTTAGACAAAAAGGAAAAGAATAAATTATTAGAATTGATGATCACAAACCCTAAACCCTAAACCCTAAACCCTAAACCCTAAACCCTAATCGGTGCCCAGTGGTCTCCGCCGTGTGCCTGTTGTCGTCAGCGAGTTTGTTTGTTTATTTTAAATAATAAATTTAATTAATTATAAATAAAAATAATATTATTTAATTAAATTTATAAAAATAAATAAAAAAAAGAAAAATAAATCCTTTTTCTTCTTTTTTTTCCCCTATAGTTACGATCTTTATACACCGCAGGCCTCTGCTGCAGCTCGCCGTCGGCTGCACAGCAGCAACGAACGGTCCATAACAGCAGCAGCAGTAGCAGCTGCAGCAGCAGCAGCAGCAGCAGCAGCAACACCACCAGCAGCAGCAACAGCAGCAGCAATAAAATATTTTAATTATTATTTATTTAATTTAAATTCTTCTTATTGTCTCATTTTTAATTTGTCACACAGAAGATCCACCGAGAGGTAGAGCAGCAGCAGCAGCAGCAGCAGCAGCAGCAGCAGCAACAGCAGCAGCAGCAGCAACAACAGCAACAACAGCAAAAGCAGCAACAAACAGCAGCAAATGATGTAGTTGCACATGTAGCAAAAACAGTAGAAGAAGATCAAAAAGGGAGGAGAAGCAGCAAGAGTTTCTGCAGCAGCAGCAGCAGCAGCAGCAGCAGCAGCAGCAACAGCAGCAGCAGCAGCAGGAGGAGCAAATGTAGTTGGACATGAGTATTAACAGTATAAGAAGATAAAAAGGGAAAGAAAAAACAACAATAATTATAAAAATAAGCAGCAGCAGCACCACCATCACCATCATCATCAACAGCAGCAGCAGCAGCAGCAACAACAGCAGCAGCAGCAGCAGCAGCAGCAGCAATAAGAACACATATCCAATATATATACGCTCTCCCTCTCCCTTATAGAGGAAAACAACCCCACCACCACCACAACCAAGAATAGCAGCAGCAGCAGCAGCACCACCACCACCACCACCACCACCATCAGCAGCAGCAACAGCAGCAGCAGCAGCAGCAGCAGCAGCAGCAGCAGCAGGAGCAGCAGAAAGAAAATGTATGGATATAAAGATGAATATGATTATGAGGGTTTATTAGATAAATTAAGGGAAGAAGAAGAAGAAAAAGGACTAAAAACCCTAAACCCTAATTTATGTGCATTATATATAAAAAAAGAAGAAAAAAAAAAAATATATAATATAAATAATAAATTATATTTATATTATGCATGCAGAGAGTTACGGTGTCACTGCAGCAGCAAAGAAGATGCAAAAAAAGGTATAATAAATATAAATTCTTTTTTTATTTCTTTATTACATATGAATATATATAATTTATATACAAAAGAGGCACAAATTATTTTACGTTTTTCTTTATTTATAAATAATAATAAATTTATATTATTTAATCAATTAATTTATTATTTAGATCTAAATAAATCATTAAAATATAGTCATATAGGTGCTGTATTACCTCAACAGCAGCAGCAGCAGCAGCACCAGCAGCAGGGGGAGGGAGAGTTCCTCCTGCAGCAGCTACTGCACCAGCAGAAACAGCAGCAGCAGCAGCAGCAGCAGCAGCAGCAGAGAGAGGGAGACAGAAACAAATCCGCAGCAGGAGATATTGCATGCAACATCAGCAGCAGCAGCAGCAGCAGCAGCAGCAGCAAGAGATTATTATTAAGGAATCCATTAGTATTGCAGCAATTATATAAAAGATGGGAAGAAGGACAAATAAAAGAAGAAGAATTAATTAATTTAATTAAACAAAATAATAATTATTTGGGGCTGCATGCGCATGCGCATGCAGCCCCAATGCATGCGCATGCAGATGCGCATGCGCATGCATTATTACATAAATGTAAATCTTTTAAAGATTTTATTTTATTTATTAATAAAATAAATAATAATATAAATATAAATAATAATATTAATAATAAATATATTAATTATATAGCAGCAGCAACACAACAAGTTGCTGCTAATAATATTTCTTTTGCTGCACCTAATAGGGATATTATATCATGGGATGCATGCGCTCCTGCTGCAGCAATTGCTGCTGCTGCTGCTGCTGCTGCTGCTGTTGATGATGGTGATGCAGAAGAAGAAGGAGAAGATGATGATGTAGATAAGGTTGCTGCTGCTGCTGCTGCTGCTGCAGCTGCAGCAGGTGGTGCTGCATGCGCTTGGGATTCATCAGGTAGTGCAGCAGAAGCAGCAGAATGTGCTGCAGCAAATGCAGCACGTATAGCAGCAGCAGCAGCAGCACCAGGTGCAACAGCAGCAGATAAAAAAAAAAGAAGAAAACAATTAATTTATTTATGTTCTTTATTTATCTCTGGTGTATTGACACCTCATGTCTTTAGGTATTATTTAGCTGCTGCTGCTGTTACCATCAGCAGCAGCATCTGCTGCTGTATAAGAGAGTTTGCTGCTGCTGGTTCTTTCCCTTTGCAGCGTCTTGTTGCTGCTGTGCTGCAGCAGGAACAGCTGCAGCAGCAGCAGCAAGATGCTATACAACAGCAACAGATAGAACAGCAGCAGCAACAGCAGCAAATACAGCAACAAATTCAGCAGCATAAACAGCAGCAAATGCAGCAGCAACTGCAGCAGCAAATGCAACAATTCATGCAGCAGCAAATACACCAACAAAGATACAAGTAACAACTTGGCTTACACAAACAGCAGCAGCAGCAGCAACAGCAGCAACAGCAGCAGCAGCAGCAACAACAACAGTAAACAAGCACAACTAAAATATTTCAAGCTGCTGCTGCAGCATGAAGTGCAGCAGCAGCAGCAGCAGTAGCAGCAGCAGCAGCAGCAGCGTGCTGCTGTAGCAGTCACAGTCACTGCAGATGCTGCAGCAGTAGCAGCAGTAGCATAAATCGCTATAGCAGCAGCAGCAGCAGCAGCACTAGCTGCTGCTGCTGCTGCTGCTGCTGCTGCTGCAATGGTAGAAGTAGCATTATGTACAGAGGGAGAACAAGTTTTTTTTTATACAAAAATTATTTATTTTTTTTATTTATTATTTATTTATTTATTTATTTATTATTTAATATAAATAAATATAAATAAATATAAATATAAATAAATAAATATAAATAAATATAAATAAATATACATAAATATACATAAATATAAATATTAATGTAATAGACTAAACCCTAAACCCTAAACCCTAATTACTATATTAAATATATAATAAATAGTATTATTTATTTATTTATATATTTATTTATTTTATATATAACTACTGTAAACCCTAAACCCTAAACCCTAAATACCAGAACAGCTTTACAAGGGTTTTGCTGCAGCAGCAGCAAATGCTGCTGCTGCTGCTGCTGCTGCTGCAGCAAAAGGGACCTGAAGAACGCCTTCTGTTAGAGGAGCAGCTGCTGCTGCCGCAAATTGCTGCTGTTGCTGCTGCTGCTGTTGCTGCAGCACTTAACTAGCTGCTGTAGCAGCAGCAGCAAGTGCAGCAACAACAACAACAGCAGCTGCAACAGCTTGTGCTCGCTCGTTGCTGCTGTAACTAGCTGCTGCTGCACCTATCTGCTGCTGTGGCTAGCTGCTGCTGCTGCTGCTGCTGCAGCTAGCTGCAGCAACAGCTAGCTGTACCTTGGGGAAGGGTCCTTTTTATTGCGAAAAGAACAACCAAAATCCATTAGGGTTTAGGGTTTACGCAAACCCTAAACCCTAAACCCTAAACCCTCACAACAAACGAGGCAGCGGCCGCCGCCCCAAACACTGCAGTGCTGCATCCGATACTTTTCTTGGGCGTCTGCAGCAACCACAAAACCCTAAACCCTAAACCCTAAACCCTAGACAGATCTAAACCCTAAAGTCTTAACAACAACCCTAAACCCTAAATCCTAAACCCTCTAAACCCTAAACCCTAAACCCTAATTTCCTACCCCTTAGCATCAACACAGAAGAACTCGAAGGCTTCGTCTCCATCTTCATCACGATATAAAGAAACAGCCGTACCCTGAAAACCACAAACCCTAAACCCTAAACCCTAAACCCTAAACCCTACAAACCCTACAAACCCTACAAACCCTAAACCCTAATTTCATAGAATTTGTAAACCCTACAGTATGAAGACCGTCAGAAAGAGCAGCACAACAGAAGCAATCATGCCAACCGCAGCAGCAGCAGCAACAACAGCAGCAACAGCAGCAGCAGCAGCAGCAGCAGCACCTGTACTTCTCCCTTGTTAACTTCTGTAACAAGTGGTGTTTGCCTCATTATATAATTCTGTATACACAAACATATTTATTTATTTATTTATTTATTTATTTATTTAATTTATTTATTTATTTACTTATTTATTTATTTAATTTATTTATTTATTTATTCATTTATTTACTTATTTATTTATTTTTTTTTTATTTATATTTATAAGGAAGATGAGGGTTTAGGGTTTAGGGTTTAGGGTTTTGTGTGTATAAAAGTACAAACCTTTGCGCATGCAGTCTGTCGCCCACGGCCATATCCTCGCTGCTGCTGCTGCTGCTGCTGCTGCTGCTTCTGTTGCTGCTGGTGCTGCTGCTGCTGCAGCAAAACAAACGAACAAACACAGCAGCAGGAAAT